TGCTCGAACTGGGTCAAATAATTACTCAAGAACTGCAAAGCAAGTGAGAGACGACTTCAAAGACTATTTCATGAATGAAGGAGCAGTAGACTGGCAATGGGCAACTGTGACAAGAACATAAAATTCTTGAGACAACTGATATTAATGAATTGCATGCAGAGTTATTAAAGTACCTATGTCATGATTTGGGATTTTAAAAATGTTTTATCTTTGGTATATTTTATGAAGAAATGCAATATATCTTTATAAGAAAATATACCATCTTCATAGGATTATCAGCCCTCAAAGTTACCAGATATGACATCAAATCGAGAATTTTATACGCTAACAAAAGAAATCTAATTTGCAATTCCCGGTTTGATGTCATATCCGGTAAATTTGAGGCCAGATAATCCTGTGAAGATGGAATATTTTCTTTTAAAGATATATTGCATTTCTTCATAAAATATACCAATGATTACAAAATATAATAATTTACACAAATCATGACATAGGCTTTAAATTGTTATTTATACTTTGAAAACTGATCTTGAATAATGTTATTGATATTTTATTGAATGAACACTTTGAAAGATTTTATTAAATTATACTTATAACATTTAAATAAAAAATAATCCTGTTAAATAGGTGATAATATGCACTGTTAATACATAATATGTACTGTTACATAAAAACAAAATGAAAGTGGTGATACCTAAACAACATTGTCATCATTGTATTCAATGTCAAACAACAACTGGTTGATTTTAATTTTTGCCAGCCTCTTCTTTTTATTTGGCATCCCTCTCAGAATGGGAACCAGACTCCGACAATATAACAAATCTTCATCATCTTCATCCTCTGCCATCTTTTTGTATGAAGCATCAGTGTCACTCAACTGCTTCAAGAGCATCAGCTCTGCTACATCCCTGTTCATGCGATTTCCACTTCTGTTTGCGGCAAACAATTCTGTACATGGTGCTGGTCGTTTGCTTGCTCTTGTTGCTTCTTGTGGCGTGTGGGAAGTCGTGGGAAAATCGTCAGTCAGATTTATACTCTGACTAACCGGGGTTGTTGGGGGGAGAGATATCAGAGGATTCAGAGCATTTAGGGTTGCTAAATTGCTCTCTGTGGGCCTGTTACCAACACCGCCATGTAGAAATGCCATTTGCTCGAAGAACCTGCACTGAGGCAAAGATGAAGCAGCCGCCCCAGATCTAGCCTGCTCACAGGCTCTATTATATAGAGCCTGCGACTTTTATTGATATTTTTTCAATACGCCCCCTTTGAGATAATTGAATATCCGGTAAATAGTAGCCAATCAAAGCAAGTTTTGTTAATTAGATTACCAGAGGTTATTAACAACAACAAACAGTTTCTCGCGCAATTTTACGCGTGTATCTTTCACTAGGATTCCAAGGTCTAAACTTTAATCAAAAATAATTCATGGTCGTTTTTTCCCTAAAGTGTTCTAATATTTAAAACATAGTCCCGTTTGTATATTGCTGTCTTGTTCGTACATTGCCGTTTTAAATTATGTAACTATACTACGTACAGAGACGTAAAATTTTACTCTCTATTAGTTAATGTATTTTATATATTTATATCCAAAATATAACTGTAAGATTTAAGGAAACGTATTTAGGTTTTGAACAAAGTAACAAACACTATTTATTTAAAAGTGTCGAACAATAGCAGGCTAAAAAACAACATTAATCATTATTGCGTGAAGTCTGTCATTTGGTCAATAATACAATTAACTCAATGACAATAGACAATTTGAAAACCCGTGGCCGTGGCGTCGATTCTGCCGTGTTTAATAACTACATTTTTTTTGTAAAAAGCTCTTGTTGTAATAATATATGTCACTAGTTGAGACTCCCAAAAATAAAGTCTTAAAGAGAGAGCGGACTTCGGTCAAAAAACACGCAAACGACTATTGCAAAATTTCCAGGTGTAAATTCAAATTGGCCAGGTGTTCTAAGAACGACTTTCCTCGACGGCGTCTGTTTTAATAATTTGCCCATTGTCTCGACTTATTCAAGACCAGATTGTTCAGGCAGAAAGCCTTGGGTTGACAGGGAAGTATTTGGGAGAAATGTTCGAAGGCATTTGACAATCAACTGCTTTATACTAGCTGATTCACTGCCTGTGTCTCAACGAACGTCTCGCTGGGCTAAACTTAAGTTGTTCAACGTTTGAAACCGCAAGTGATGCAAACGCGGTTAGATAAATTGTCAGCCTGAACTAGACTTATTTTACTCTCTCTGCAAAGATCAGCAAGGCATACGTCGAAGTTTTCCCTTGTACTTCTTTGGAAAAGGTTTATTAGGGGCTATTATAGCTGACGAAGACAAAGTATCGGTATATTACATGTAAACTTTTATCAAATCCCGTTGGAAGTACAGTTAATATTGCTAACCTTCGCTCATCCTTCAACGTTAATTTAAATTGAAAGGTTTCTCAAATACATTCAGTTACTTCTTCGAAGAGATAAACAAAGTCATGGTTTTATACGCCACTGATTGAATGCCAGCTTTAAAATTACATTGCGAAATGTCGTACGAGTTAAATATTTGCACGATATTAACTCATGGGGCACTTCTGACCAATGGGAATTTTGCGTACGGAGCGTACGCATAAATCGACTTTTTACTAATAAAGGTCGCAGGCCGTTCCTCCCATGCAGCCTCTGCCTGACAACGGCCTGCGAGCAGGCTACCCCAGATCTGGTCATCTTGGACCTCTTGTCGAGACATTTTTTTAAACTATCCTTCAAGTTCTTCAGTTGTCTTTGAAGAAAATCCACTAAAATATTAAAAATCCATTTCAATAGTAAGAAAATTTACAGTATTAAAAATACATACAATAATATACTTTTACTTTAATGCATTAGTATATCTATAGTATATTGGATACTCACGCGATTCAGGTATTCATGAACGCATTATATGAAACTCATATATGATAAAACTAGAAACAAAACTTAGCTATTCGAAGCATTTAATTAATATGATAAAACTAGAAAACAAATACTTAGCTTTATTAAAATGTTTCAGGCTTCAGCCTGTTTGCAAATTCAGTCAATTGAAAGTCGTCGACATTTGAATGGGTATCTTGCATGTATCGTTCATTCTCCTTTTCAAAATTTTATAGACATAGTGCTCCAAATATTTACTTAAAAGTTTAAACAATATTACAATAATGGCTGCCTATAAAATTGTTGGTTGCAGTGAGGAGGCGTGGCTTCATGAACGGAAACGGAAGCGCATATTGATTAAATACATTAATGATTAATCCTTACCGTCCCTGTCAAAAATTTCAGACAGTTTCTTCCAGGCATTCGCTTTGACCGTACGGTCTTTGTATAAAGACGAGCTTGTGTCCCAAAGACAACTTAGTTGTCTGACTTCTTCGATGAAGAACTCTTTGTCAAATTCGACGCTAGTACTCTCCGTTGCCTCGACCGTATTCTGTTGTGTCTCCTCGCTTTCGGAACCTCTTCTAGCTTGCCGCATAAGTTCTTCAAGTGCGGAAATATTGTCTGCCGACAAATTTGCTAACAAATTTCCGTCTTCCATTTTGTAAAAAACATTGTGCTTCGAAAATATTACTTCGCAGTTCGCGTAAGCTGATTGGTCAATTTTTTCATCGCTCGCTTTTCGCCGCGAAAAAGTTGAACATGATCCTACTTTTTCGGCGGCAGCAGAGCGATTATTTTCGCCGAGAAAATTCGTCATTGACTGCAATGCGCATGCTCACGGCGAAAAAAATCGCGTCGCGCGAAAAAATTCGCCTAGTGGAAATCAGCCTTAAGGCAAACCGCTAACCGCGAACTTCAAATCGTAATCTGAAAGTCAACTGTTCGAAGTTAGGGCAACTTGTGCACTAAAATTGGAGCATGAGTTAGCTACTTTTAGCTGTCGAAACTCTAGGCCTTACTTTCAAATGCTATTTGAAGTTTGCAGTTGGCGGTTTTCCGTAAACGTTCCCAGTGCCACGCAGTCAGCCGAAAGGAAAAGACGTTGTCTGAGTAGAAATTTATCAATGGTGGCCTCTTTACGTGAATAAGTAATGAGGTCACACCATTGTGGCCACTTCAAGTTTCTTTATCTCCTGTTTAAAACGCTCTTAAAAAAACGCATATCGACCGTATTATTTGATTTCCGAAGTATATAACGGGAAGATTAAATATTACAGAACTCCGCGAGTATTTGCAGTAGAAATACAAAAATACCACCAAAAAAATCGGCTTGAAAAGTTCTATGAAATCGAACAATGTAAAATAGCCATAAATAATAAACTAGCCATACTCGAACAACGTAAACTAACCATACCATACTATATACAATATACTCGAAGAATGTAAACAATGCATCACTAAGCCATACCTTTTTTTTTAAAGAACTTTATTGGGTCATTCACAACAATAATTACAATAATTATACTAACAAATAATTGGGCAAAGATACACTAATTTAAAATAACAACAATAAAAGAACCCAATTGGGAAAAGTGCGAACGGGACTCCAAGTCCCATGCGGGGCAACCTTTCGCCGAATATAACTTCGGCCGCTTTCAACGTATCTTCTTGGTATTAGTCTTGTTCGAAACACAATCCAACACACTATTTAGAGTGTTATTTTCAAGCTTGTATCTGCAGATTTGCATCTTTTATTACGGTATTTCAAAATATCTAAATTTTACGCGAGTGCTTTGACCGGAAGTTCAAGTTGAAATATCCGAAACAATGCGATGTTTATTGTTTACATCCCATCACTCGGGAAACGTCGGAAATCGATTCTAAAGGCCAAAGTACCCCTGTGGCGTGATTTTCACGTGCATGGGGGCTACGGTAACCTAGGGGCTACGGGTGCTCCTTATTGGCCAATTTTAGCGTGTGGCACAATCAGTGAACGGTTCCGGCAATTCTAAAATTGAGACTAAACTCTGAAAGTTGAGAGTTAAATTTGCAGCAAATCTATCTTTCGACTCACATATTTCTTATCGATAACACAAAATTCCATATCCTTTTCGATGTCATAAATTATTTTTGAAAAATGTCTAAAAGCCCTACCTTATTTCTCATAAAAGGGTACCCTTTTTTGAGATTTGTGTAATAAGTGAATTGGTTCGTTTTAATTACCCTTTTACGTCGATCCAAGTTTCAACTTAAAAGCGAAAAAACCCGGATTATCTAACGAATTTATACAAATCAAATCTCCATAAAAATAACTGAAAAGGGTACGATCATCGCTCAACCGCATCGTTTTGTAAAATGACGAAAAAGGGTACCCTTTTCGGTCAACCATGTTGTTTTGTAGTAAGACGAAACAGAGTACCCTTTTCGGTCAACTATGTTCTGTACATAGTAATATGAAAAAGGGTACCCTTTTCTGTAAAATATGATCTCTTATAATAAGACGAAAAAGGGTACCCCTTTTTATTTAATCTGTTGATACTCAATCGGATTAAAAATGGTCTGGAATTGTATCAACTGCGTTAACGCGTTAACGCATGTTAAAGCATAGCGTTTAATTTAAGTGTATACCAATTCAAAAAGCAGTATAATTTATTCGTTTATTGTTAAATCAAAATGGCGGAGTACTTGGAGCAAAATATCGAAGATGTGAAAAACTATGTTCAAAAGAATTATACTTATCGGCAGATTAGCGACATTTTCAAGCAGCATTTTCCTGGGGTTAGTCGAGGTTTCTTGGAGAGAAACATTCGGTTATTCTGTTCAAAGCGTGGAATAAAGAAACTGGACAATTTTGAAGTGGACAGCATGCATTATTCAACAGTCTATCACTATCAGTGATTGTGGGCTGTAACTGATTATTTTAAAAACTTTTAAATAGATATGTATACGTATAGCGTTGGGTAATATTATGAAGGCAAAAGATATTATAAACCATATTTTGATATTATATGAGTATGATATGATATGATATATGATATGGTTTATAATATCTTTTGCCTTCACAATATTACCCAACGCTATACGTATACTTATCTATTTAAAATAATCAATTACAGCACACAATACCTCACTGATAGACTGGTGAATAATGGTGTCCACTTCAAAATTGTCCAGTTTCCTTATCACGCTTTGAACAGAATAACCGAATGTTTCTCTCCGAGAAACCTCGATTAACCCCAAGAAAATGCTGCCTGAAAATGTCGCTGATCTGCCGATAAGTATAATTCTTTTGAACATAGTTTTTCACATCTTCGATATTTTATAAGTACTCCGCCATGATAAGTACTCCGCCATTTTGATTTAACAATAAACGAATAAATTATACTGCTTTTTGAATTGGTATACACTTAAATTAAACGCTATGCTTTAACACGCGTTAACGCGTTAACGCTGTTGATAAAATTTCAGACCATTTTTAATCCGATTGAGTATCAACAGATTAAATAAAAAAGGGTACCCTTTTTCGTCTTATTATAAAAGATCATATTTTACAGAAAAGGGTACCCTTTTTCATATTACTATGTAAAGAACACTCTGTTTCGTCTTACTACAAAACAACATGGTTGACCGGAAAGGGTACCCTTTTTCGTCATTTTACAAAACGATGCAGTTGAGCGATAATGGCGTACCCTTTTCAGTTATTTTTACGGAGATTTGATTTGTATAAATTTGTTAGATAATCCGTTTTTTTCGCTTTTAAGTTGAAACTTGGATCGACGTAAAAGGATAATTAAAACGAAACAATTTACTTCTCACACAAATCTCAAAAAAGGGTATACCCTTTTATGAGAAATAAGGTAGGGCTTTTAGACATTTTTCAAAAATAATTTATGACATCGAAAAGGATATGGAATTTTGTGTTATCGATAAGAAACATGCGAGTCGAAAGGTCGATTTGCTGCAAATTTAACTTTCAACTTTCAGAATTTTCTCAATTTTAGAATTGCCGGAATCGTCCACTGATTTGGCACGCGCGTGCAAGTAAAAACCCGATAATTTGAAAAATACAAAATAAATATTTCTACTTGTCGTATTCAAACGAAACTTTCTACATGAAAGCGCTTGAATACAAGGAGTATTTCACTGCTATTGACTTGGGCGAATGCTGAAGAGTTTAGAAGATATTCAAGTTTTTCTCGATATGAAATACAAAATGTTTGGCCAAGAGGGTGAGTAAATATACGATTGTTTTGGTTTGCGTGTAATGTAATGACGGCATTTGACCCCCCGTTCGAAAGGTTATTTTATGAGGATTTCAACGGTCGTTTTTGTTTTAAAGTGGGGCAAATACTTGCCGAGATATTTTAAATTTTCTCCTCTCCAAAGTCGGAATATGTAATATGACCGGATGACAATGACTCATTAGTATAGGGTTGTACGAAGCTCTTCCAAGTTAGGTAAAGAAGATATTTGCTTGAAGATTGCTCCATGCATCCACTCCTAGATATAAGATCAGTGCCAAAGCTCGACTAGAACTCCCTACCAGAACTGGCTAGACCCCATCCCAGCTGATACACGACATTTGTCGGACAATTTGAAACGAACCGCTACTCAGTAGTGGAACAATGAACTTGAACTGTTTTCATTGTATACATGCAAAATTTTGCTATGGTCTGGTGGACCATTGGATCTATGTTGTAGTATAGTATAGCAACTTTATTTAAACAGAATTAATATTTGCCCCAGTCAGCTTAACTAGACACTGTTGTTGATAGGGGTCGTTTAACAAAAGTTTTTAAAATCTTACATGTCCATGCTAAATTAAGTCTTTAAGAAAATATTATGCAGTAACACTATGATTATTTCTCATTGTACTGTGCTGTTGTTTTTTCATTGGCTAAAAGCCTACAAATAATTTTAAGTATTTGTAGGTGCCTGCACTATTTTCGTCCGAAACAGTAATCTGTAGAGGTTATTGGATGGAGCCCGAGATATTTCAGCGGTGCTTTGTGTTAAATTGCAAATGGCGGGAAATTTTATGAAAAGTTAATGAATGTAATGAATTTTCATTTGATTTTAATTTTTGTCTGTTTTATTTGTTACTGTCACAGAATGAACTAATAAAACAATTATTGGATTCGACTCAACCTCATCCAATAATTGCTAAAGCCATAACATATTAAGTCATAATTGGAAAGATAGTATAAAAATTGTCCATAATAAAGAAGTAAGAGACATCACACACGCATTTGCAAACAACTGTTTATGAAATCAACGCCAGTTTTCATAAGGCAGAGTACAATTTCTAATAGTATAATTCTCTGCACCAGAATGATGAAAACGATCTTGAAATACTGCGAGTAAGGGTTTGGTAAAATAGCATATTAAAACTGCAACAACGATTCCATTAGCAAGCACATGTCGTTTCCAGTACTTGGACCACACTCGCGTTATGGGAATATTATACCAATGTATGCGAATAAAAGTAGACAAAAAATTGAACACGAATTCAATCACCAATCCAATAGCAATTCTTGTCAAAGATGACTTCACGACAGACCAATCAGAGAGATGAAAATTTGTAATTGTATATAAAATGATGTAGGATTGGCTTAGAATCAATGAATAGTTCTCAAAACGTATATTTTGTATCTCGGTGTCTGCTTTAAGCCGCCTATGATGTGCTGTGTATCCAGGCAAATGGTGAAGTCTCGTACAGCAAGTTCTGTTCAGAAACCTGATAACTCGCGCCCATACTTTCTCACGGATACCAACAGTCGCTGTTTTAAGTAAACTTGAGACACCAGATAGAAGAGATAGCCCGACAAACAGCCAGATATTCTTAAAGTTTGCTTGCATGATACGATACAAAGTAATGAAGGAAGCCCGTATGAAATAAACCAACGCAAAGCTTCGTTCTGGCTCGATAATCTCTGAAGTACGCCATAATGCCATATGCCTACATATAGTAGTCGGCACCAGTGCTAATGTCGGTGTCAAGATGGCCAATATGAATCTATACAACACATTATCGAGGGAATTAAACCACTTAACAATTGCGTATTTGTAAAACACTGCCATTACGAAGCTGCTCAATACCGGTACGGCAAGAACCGAGAAAATATGGCGACCTGAATAGGATACAGTTCGGTGATTTTGTCGAATATTGCGCACCACAATTGCAATTTCCCAGAGAGTAGCGACAGCAAATGTTAAAATTGCTGGAACGTCGTGACTTTTGATCGGACGGCTATCATGAATACGATATAGGAGTAAAAAAGTTAAATATAATGTATTAAATAAACCAGCCAGTTGGCCTACTAAGATAGTTGAAGAATAATGACGCTTAAATTCGCTCCAACCAAATAAAACAATCAAAGACAAGGGAAACCAGAGATACAATATCACTGTTTGAAACACTCCGCCGATCAATCTTATTCTCCTAACATCAAATGAAAAAGTGTAGCTTTTACCCTTCCATTCAGAGCATAAGTCAATTGTTCTTAAATCAATATATATAAGGGCCATCCCTATAAGTGCCAAAGGCAGTACAGCTAAGGTTATGGCAAAGTTCGCCTTCAGACTTCTGAGTAATGACTGGATATAACTAGGCTTTTTTCGCAGTTCATACCCTGGTTGTACATACTCCGTTTCTGATGGTAGATTATCTTCTTCAAATGAGACGTATTCTCTGTGAATTTTATCCTCCC